TTTCCTCTCACATACAGTTTTGTACTTCAAGACGGATGTTGGTATGTTCTTTTTTGATGATGAATGCGACACCATTCCTCTTTAATATGTCCTTCGTGGCATGAGATTATCAAAAGCAAAGTGGCCAATGCCAGTCTATTTCAGCTCACTGATGCCTAAGATATCAACATTTATGCACTTCATTTCATTTTGAAAATTTCAAGTTTTCCTAGATTCAGACGTGGTGCATTCCATGTTTTGATAATTAATGGAAGCTTACAGTAGTTTCTCTTTATTTTGAGTTGTGGCCCATTAGCAAATGAAGGTCCCATTCATGCCATCACTATCAGCAATATTTGATGCAGCAGCTCTTTCCCATTTGGAGAGCTTTCCAACCTGAGGTGCCATCTTCCAGGACTATGTCTGACAATATTCTGGTGCTCTGCATCAAGTTTCAATATTCAGTGTTCTGGTGCTGACATTATTCCACTGCTATTCATAAGGTTTTCAGTATTTGAATATTTGGAAGTAGTTCATTTCTCCTTTTTCCTAGTCTGTCTTTGTATGGAAACTTAGCTGAAACTTGTCCACAGTGGTGACCCTGCTGGTATTTGAAATACCTGTGGCATAGCTCCCAGAATCACAGCAACATGCTAATCATCACAGTATGGCAAGCTGACAGATGAGTAGTGGACTCTATGTCTACCACTCCTAAATTATAGTTATTTCATCTATTACCCAATTCTAAAATGAACTTTTGTCCTCTGCCACGCCTTTTTACCAAGCAACCCAAAATAAGTTTACTAAGATTTTCTACTTACAGAAGTCATGCAAATGGATTTGCAAAAGCAGCCCTATATACATCAGGAACAGGAGACTGAGGAGGAGACAACTAAGGAGATAAAACATTCAATAAGTATATAGTTACAGTCATAAGAAAAAAAATCTATAATTAAAATTTATGAAATTCCTTTAAAAGTCATTTAGATTATGGGTCAATCAGATTTGTGTTTGCCTGTTTACAGATGTCAACAAATGCTTAATTATTTACATAATATCACAGTTCAGGTGAATTATGTTTGCTTCCTCATATTAGGAAAATGTTTATGAGTTACAGACCCATGTGTGAGAAATTAAGAATCTATAGCTTTGGATTTATTAAGATAAAATTTTTGCTTTATCTTCTCCTGAAAAACTTTTAAGAGCCAGCGTTAGGTGAGATGTTGTATAACTTTCTCAAATTTAGGAGCTAGTAGTCCCTGTTAAAATAATCTTTCCCTGGTTTGAATTACTCTTGTTGATACCAGATGGTTCTCATGATAAATCGTAGTCAAACCTGACTTACCATCAAAAGGTTATTACAAAAGCCAGACTCATTCAGGAGGTGGTAGGTATCTGTGGTATGCAGTTTGGGGCAAGAGCTTCTAGTAGTTAATACTTACAGGAGCTTGTGGTGATGAATTGAAAGAATCTTTAGAGAAAGGGTTCTCAAATGCATTGTCAGCAGCTTTGATAACTGGCAGGGCACCTTGTCTGGGAAGTGGCTTTGGTGGTTCTAGAAAAAGAAAAACCTAAGTAGTCAGTAAACATGCTTTCCCCAAATATATGCACAAGTCCTTGGTCGGGCTTATCTTTGAAACTTATGTCCATACTAAACGTCAACTGCTAACAAAACATTTGGTAAGTTTCAGCCATCTTCACATGTATAGTTCAGTGACATTAATAAATTAAGTCCATACTTCTGCTGGAAACTTTACATTAGTGGAACAAAAATCACCACCAAGTACCAGGATCCCCAGTGATTACCACAGATAAATTTATCCCTTCACAGAAGGGGAAGCGATACATTTTTACTTAAAATGCAATAAATTCAGAATTCCCTCATTTAAGACTATAGGGTGTGGGTAAGGTTAGATTTTATAGTCCTCCAAAGTGTCCATGCCATTGTCCTTCAGTGGCTCTTGGCAGTCCTTTTCAGAACTGTCACTAGAGAAAATGGTCTCAAAGAGTTGCCAGTGGCTATCCAAGGAGCTCTGGTAGCGTAGTGGTTACGAATCGGGCTGTGAACCGCAAGGTCAGCAGTTTGAAACTACCAGCTGCTCCGCGGGAGAAAGATGAGGCTTTCTGCTCCCGTAAAGATTTACAGCCTCGGAAACCCTGTACAGGGTCGCTATGAGTCAGAATCGACTCCACGGCACATAACAACAACAACAACAATCCAAGGCACAACAATTGATCTCTGTTCACCTGGAGCAACAGGAAGAGGCAAGAGTCATGAGTAGGAGGAGGAAATGGAATGTGTGCTTAGTTGTCTCCCTGAATAACTGCTTCCTTTGCCACAAGACTAGAAGAACTGTCCTACTACCATGGCTGAACATTTTAATCAAAGCTTCTATAGAAGAATCCAGATCAATAGCAGAGAAATGCAGAACAGAATTTCAAATTATTATGGAATCCAGACTTTCTGACCCATGGAGGGTGGATGAACTCTTCACACTATTATTCTAAGATAATCTTTAAATCATGAACCAAAAATATCCCCTTAAGTCTTCTTAAAACCAATGACAGCTTGGCTTAAATAGAAAAGAATGTCTGCCTTGAGCTCTTTTTAAGTTTATCTATAGACTGTCAGTGGCGTTCTGGTGGCACAGAGGTGAAAGCACTCAGCTGCTAATCAAAATATTGCTGGTTTAAACCCACCAGCCACTCCACAGGAGGAAAGATGTTGCAGTCAGCTTCTGTTAAAATTTATAGTCTTGGAAGCACTATGGGGCAATTCTGTTGGAGCTATGGAATCCCTATAGGGTCAGAATCAACTCAATGCTAATGGATTTGGTTTTTGGTTAACAAGAGATCAAACTGACAGCAGCAACTGGATAGATAGGACACTTAAGATGAGCTAAGAGGAACTCAGAAAAGGAGGATAAGATTGGCTGCAAATTTCAAAGAACATCCAGTGTCAGTAAGTTTTACACACAGAAACTGGAATTGGTAAATATTTGGGAGCGGGGTTTGGGAGTAAGGAGTTAGGTTATGATTGGGACTTTGGTTAGGTCTAGGTGCTGTGGGTTAATGTGCTGGATTGCAAGGTTGTTTGAACTACAAGCTCTTAACAACAACAGCATACCCTTGTTGTTGGACCCTGTACAGGGTTTCCGAGAATGTAAATCTTTACAGGAGCAGAAAGCCTCATCTTTCTCCTGCAGAACGGCTGGTAGTTTCGAACTGCTGGCCTTCAGTTTCGCAGCCCGATTAGTACCCACTATGCTACCAGAGCTCCTCTAGCACTATACCTAAACAGCAACAAATTAAATAACTAAGAAAAAAATAGTCACTAGAGGGCAGCATTCGGCCTGTGTTTAGTCACAATGACAACAACCTTGGTTAAGTTGGTTAAACTGTCTGCGTATATTCAGGTTAACAACAACAACAAAAAAGAATGTAGGCGTGTGAGAGAGGGTTCTTCTGTGGCACTCTTTGGGCCAGTAATACAGTGGAAGTCCTTTTGGGTACAGTGGGCAGAGACATGAGCAACTTACCATTGATCTTATTCAACAGTTGATTCGCATCAAAGTCATCATGTTCTGCATTCTCCTGAGGAATGCCTACTTTACTGCTGAAATAATTGGAGAAGGCACTTGAAGTCCCAGGGGAAGTCTGCTCTGCCTTCCTTGCAGGTACTGCAGGTGGCTGTTTCAGCTGCAAATCCTTAAACATTTCTTTCACCTCCTTGACTTCTTTATCTGCAAGCGGGTCTAAAGCAGTGAAGGCATCATTGGAGATGTCCACTGGGCCAGCAGTTCTGGGAGGAGGCTGAGGAGGGGTGACCAGAAGAGAGGGGAGCATACTGGAGAGTTGGGCAGGAGCTGGAAAAATATTGCTCTGGAAAGGATTCCCCAAGGAGGTCGCTGATGGCCAAGTGTTGGGTGTCACAGATGCTGAAGGACTCCAAACAGTAGGGCCTGGAGGGTGAGTTGAGCCTGTAAATGCTGAAGGTTGGTTCCAACCGGGAACAGATGGGCTTGTGCCAAACACCAGTGGCTGACCAAATCCTGAAGGTTGACCACTCATCATGGTTCCTGGGACCATGGAAGTGGACTGATTGAAGACTAAAGATGGTTGGGTCCAGGGGCCTGCCTGTGGAGGTGTAGCTGGTATACCACCTAAAGGAAGAGGGGAAAAAACTCCTATTCAGGAAACAGACTTAAAGAAGATTCTTTAAAAAACAAAAAGCATTTTTTTCATCAGTCTGGTAGATTTGACTCCAAAGCTGGGCATAAAAGAGTCACATAATTTAGCAGGCACCAAGGCACAGAACCAGGGGCAGATTGTGGAACAGACCATCTCGTATGTAAATTCAAATTGAAGCTGAAGAAAATGAAAACAAGTCCACAAGAGCCAAAATATGACCTTGAATATATCCCACCTGAATTTAGAAATCATTTGAAGAACAGATTTGATACATTAAACACTAAAGACTGAAGACCAGAAGAATTGTGGGATGACATCAAGAAAGCCAAAAGTCATTAAGAAGACAAGATGGAAAAGGTCAAAATGGATGTCAGAAGAAACTTGCTCTCCAACGTAGAGATGCTAAAGTATATGGAAGAAATGAGGAGATCCAAAAGCTGAACAGAAAATTTCAAAGATCAGCTTGAGAAAATAAAGCCAAATACTATAACAAAATATGCAAAAATTTGGAATCAGAAAACCAAAAAGATAGAACATGCTTAGAATTTCTCAAGCTGGGGGAACTGAAGAAAAAATTCAAGCCTCAAAAGAAGCTGGAAGGCATACATAGAGTCACTGTGCCAAAAGGAAATGGTTAATGTTCAACCGTTTCAAGAGGCAGCATATGATCAAGAGCCAATGATAATTAAGGAGGAAGTCCAAGGTGCATTGGCAAAGAACAAGGCATCAGAAATTGAGGGAAAAAAAATGGAAATCTTTCAAGAAAGTGAGGCAGCACAGGAAGCACTCACTCATCTCTGCCAAGAAATCTGGAAGACAACTGTCTGGCCAAATGATTGGAAGA